TTCGTATTTCTCACACATAAATCTAGAAAATTATTTTGAAAAAAAAAAAACAAAACAAAAAACATGGAAACTTTCTCTAGAAATTCTCAAACGAAACGAAAACTAATTAGAATGTGTTCTACATTGAATTTATGAATACTGACAGGTTGAGTCGTTCGTTCGGTCGGTAGGTCGTTTGTAATTTAATGCGTAGCGTATTAATGAGAAGATCTAAACAAATGTGGAAATTTTGCAAATCAGACAGATGTCAGTTTTAACGAAAGTTCAAGTTTTTGTAGGAAAAGGGTTACGTCTTAAAAAATAGAAGACTCGTGGGGCTTTTATTATAATTTGTAACAGAATCTTTTTCGGCCTCCGTAGACAAAAACATACAGACATCTTGAAGAACATTTAATCTTCTTTGAACAGCGGACAATCGGGCAGACCCGTATGGTCTTCATAAGCAAGATAATTTGGGCTTTGTAGATGGGACAATTTGCTCTTCGTAGAGAGGGCGATTTGGTATTCGTAGAGAAGACATTTGGGGTTTCCCTTACTCTCTCATATTTGCAGGGTGTACAAAATACTTTGTATATACTTCTGAGTGCGGTAGAGGAGCTGGGAAAACCTAGCAATAAACAATAAATATTCTAAAATTACATATTTCCCAGCCGCCATAAAACACCACATGTGAACAATTCGGTGATCTTTTGCGCTGACGCAAACGATAATGTGTGAGATAATAAAGTTTGTGACCCACACGTACAGATATCAATGCCCTCAGTAAATGTACAAGACCACTTGAATGAAATGTCAAGCAACCCTGCAATGTTCTCCATTCAATATTAGAATAGATAAGAATAATCGTTGCTGCGATTAGGTTAAGTTAGATTAGTTTTTGTAGCACTTAAGAACATATTTTTGAAATAAACTTAGAATTGAAACTATATCCAAGGAATAAGGTTGTTATTTCTTTTCTCATCACCGCATAGAGAAAGGAGTTGAGAATCGAAGAGGGAGATTGGACTCTATTTTCACTAACACAGAGTGAGATGAAAAAACTGCAACCAACTTCAGACTGCTGTCACTTTTGAGCCACTCGGCCGATAGTTGTTAAAAAGCATTTTGGTGAGAAATTTCCAGAAAAAAAAGTTATTCCTGATGAAATTCAAGCGTGATAATGTGATTTCTTTATATTTGGCTGGAAAACCACAAGTGGCTATCGTTAGAGCACTCCAGTATTTAAATGTGAATAAATCGTTTGTGTCTCTTACCATCGCTCGTTACCGTGATACGGGTAGCGTAGCCCGACGTCAAGGAAGTGGACGGAAGAAAACAGAAACATCAGCCGAAATGGTCCGAAAAGTAAAGAAGCGACTTGATCGAAACCCACGTAGCCGTGGCCGAAAAATGGCTAGTGAGCTGAACATATCGCAATATTCCATTCGGTAAATATTGAAAAGTGAGCTCGGAGTAAAGCCACTGAAATTCCAAAAAGTGCAAGAACTTACACCGCAACGGAAAGAAAATAGACTCAAAAGAGCTAAAGAGTTGCTTCGCTTGGACGAAAGTGGTGAACTGCCGAATTTGGTTTTTTCTGTCTCCGATGAGAAAACATTCGTTGTTCAGAAGTTTGTAAACAAACAGAATGATCGTGTTTACATTGCCAAAGAGATTAGCTGAAAATGTGCACATTCGGTTGGCCACCCGAATTCAAGAGCCGTCTCTGGTGATGGTGTGGGCCGCCATAACAGCCGATGGTCACTCTCCGCTCGTATTAATCGACCGATCAGAATAAATGCCGAATATTATCGCGACAATATTCTGGAGGGTGTATAAAAAGACTTGGGTACGCAAACATTTTGGCCGCAGACTTTGGACTTTCCAACAGGACTCAGCATCATCGCACTCAGCATGCGCCACCCAAGAATGGTTACAAAATGGGGCTCCTCGCTTCATTTCCAGCGCACAATGGCCACCAAAATCTCCGGATACCAATCCGTTGTACTATTGTGTCTTGAGTATTTTGGAATGCAAGGTTGGCATTAAAAAATACTTAAGTGTCGGTAACCTCAAGCAAGCGCGTCGCTGGGAATGGGCCAAAATACAGCAGAACAACATTCGGACAACGTTTGACGGTTTCATTAGCCGTTTGAAGGCCATAATTCGTGCCAAAGGTGATCAATTCGAACAAATCTAAACTTATTCTAAAATTTAATGCTATTTCCGATATTTTCGTCCAATAAAATTAAAAAAACATGTAAAAATTATGGCTTTTGACTTTGTTAAAGTTTTTTTATCTTACCCTGTATATACCTAAAACGCAAAGAAGGCATTTATATTCGAAAAATGAAAAAATCGAGGGGAGGACCCCTTGGTCTTCTTCTTTGAGAAGACCCCATGGTCTTCTTCTATGACAAGACCTCCTGTAGTGCAATTCTCTAACTCATTTTTTGAATTACCGACAAAAGTCGGTAAAATTAAAATGCTTATAATTTCGGTAATTAACGAAATTTGTCGGTAAGTTCGCGAAGAAATCAAAGCAGTCGCTAAGACTTACCGATAGATACCAATGTTGTTACTTTAAACTTCTTTTTTATATCAACATTTTGGATTTCAAACTTACCGATTTTTGTCGGTAACTCAAAAAATGAGTTAGAGAATCCCACTACTGGTCTTTTATAAGAGAAGACTGTTTTGAATAGCTACGGTTCCGTTTAAAAGATGAATTTGAGTATAATTGAAAAAAAGGACCAAAAAGACTGCTTTGATGATTCGCTTGAAGGTTAAAATTTTCGTCCAAAATAATCCGCGTATTCTTATCAGTAATATTTCCATAGGCACTATATACCTAATATGCAAGGAAGGTATTTTTATCCAAAAAAAAAAAAAAATAAACAAGTTAAAAAGCAGTAAGTTCGGCCGTGCCAAACTTTGAATACCCTCCACCATTTGCAACGAATTTGGAAATTTTCAAAAAATAAAATCCTTAAAAAATTCTGTTAAAATTTTAAAAATACCGAATATAGCCGTTATTTTCGTGTCTACACGACGTGGACCTACATCGGCATTGTTTGTCATAAGACATTACCAAATTCCAATTCGGAGCTTGAAATAAACGGTGAATAATGTATCTAAAATCATCAAAATATCATATATAGGAAGGTGCCGTTATATCGGAGCTGTGCGAAGACCTGGACCAGCATAGTCAATTTTCTGTCATAGGCTGTAGCATCCATTACGAACTTCAAATACGACATCTCAAACAATTTTGGTGGGTATTGTGCCTAAACTCGTCAAAATACCGAATATAGGGGGGTACTGGTATATGGGGCCTATACGAAGACCTGGACCTGCATAGACAATTTTCTGTCTTAGGCTGTACTATCCATTACGAACTTCAAATACAAAATTTGAAAAAAATTCTGGTGAATAGTCTCTCTAAAATCATCAAAATACCGAATATCGGGATGTACCGTTTTATGGGGGCAATATGAAAACATGGCCCATTTACGAACTTAACTTGCCTACTGGAAAAATAAACACGTGTGCACAATTTTAGCCTTCTATCTCAATTCGTTCGAAAGATAGCGTGATTGCAACCGACAGTCAGACGGACATCACTAAATCGGGTTAGAATTTTACACTGATCAAGAATATATATACTTTGTTGGGTCTGACATGAGTCCCCCTTCTCTTCTTCTATGAGAAGACCCCCTGGACTTCTTCTATGAGAAAACACCCTGGTCTTCTTCTATGAGAATACCACTGGTCTTCTTCTATGAGAAGACCACTGGTCTTCTTCTGGTCTATCTTAGAAGACTCAGTGGTCTTCTATGAGAAGACCCAGTGGTCTTCTATGAGAAGACCCAGTGGTCTTCTATGAGAAGACCCAGTGTTCTTCTATGAGAAGATCTATTGAGAAGTCCCCCTTCTCTTCTTCTATGAGGAGACCCCCTGGACTTCTTCTATGAGAAAACACCCTGGTCTTCTTCTACGAGAATACCACTGGTCTTCTTCTATGAGAAGACCACTGGTCTTCTTCTGGTCTATCTTAGAAGACTCACTGGTCTTCTATAAGAAGACCCAGTGGTCTTCTATGAGAAGACCCAGTGGTCTTCTATGAGAAGACCCAGTGGTCTTCTATGAGAAGACCCAGTGGTCTTCTATGAGAAGACCCAGTGGTCTTCTATGAGAAGATCCAATGGTCTATTGAGAAGTCCCCCTTCTCTTCTTCTATGAGGAGACCCCCTGGTCTTCTTCTATGAGAAGACCACTGGTCTTCTTGTGGCACTCTCTTAAAGACCCACTGGTCTTCTATTAGAAGACAATCCGGTCTTCTATAAGAAGACCCCCTGGTCTTCTTCTATGAGAAGACCCCCTCGTCTTCTTCTATGAGAAGGCCAACTGGTCTTCTATGGACTACTTTGTTGGGTCTGACATGAGTATTTCGAGGAGTTACAAATGGAATGACAAAGTTAATATACCCTCCATAGTATGGTGGAGGGTATAAAAAGAAAGAGGAAGATGGGACAACTTGTCCCCTCTATTTAGGTTACTTTGCGATGTAAACTTTCAAAACGCCAATACACTGTCTTCCATTTTATTCATGTTTTCTGAAACCTGGAAATTGAAACTATTCTGCCGAATATTTTTAACTTTCCCAGCTCCCTCCCTCAAATTCAAGCACTTTATATAAAATTCGTTCAATATTTCATTTAATCCCACTTCACACCTCATTCACCTCTGAGAGTTAACCTTGTTAACCTTTGCAAAAAAAAATGATGTCAAGATCAACAATTAATGGCCTGACAACAAATTTTGAAAACAATTAGACAAATAATTCACGATTTTGTGCTAAATTGCAGCAACAATGAAACCTAAAAATCAATTTGGACGACTTTCTAGAGTAGTTGTTTAAAAATAAATATTCCAAAGGAGCCCTAAATCAAATTGCCAATGGCAAAACGAAAAAAAAACCAAAAAAATTGAAATCTTTAATTGTTCGGACTCACACTTACCCTTATGAAACAAAACGATAATCCATCTGTGGTATCGGTGGCATTGTTGGTGCTGGCGTTGCTGTTGCCACTGCTGGAGCTGGCCACGCTGCTGTTGTGGCTGCTGTGGCTCAAAGAGCTGTTCAGGCCACTGCTGCTGGCGTTGCTGCTACTGGCGCTGTGGGCCGTATCAATGCTGGAGTTGGTGGTATCCATTTTGAAATTGAAAGTTTCACAACTGAAAACGGGTTGTTGCGGTTGTAGAAGTTTGATATGGTTGGGACGGGAAAGCGTTTTTCTTTTTCCCAAAAACAGCAGGAAAAAATGTGTTTTTCTCTTTTTTCTCTTTTCTTTATTGGATAAAATTGCAATTTAATTAACTATTTCTTTTCGATTTCTTGTAATTATGCACTGATTTGTTTAAATATAGATTTTCATTATGGAAAACAAGGAAATCCATAAAATTTTCAAATTTTTTTTCTTTTTTTTCAATTAACAAAAAAACACAGGCCTTCTGTTTTTTTTTTTTTTTTTTTTTTTTTGGGTTACACAAAAAATTTGTTATTTCACTTTTTTTTCTGTTCACTGAATTTTCTTCTTTATGTCGATTTTTTTTTGAATAATAAAAAGAAAGTCAGTCAGTAAGTCAGTCAATCGGTTATTGTTGTTGTTGCTGTTGTAGTTGCATTGGGCACACACCTCTTGTTTTCATTTTTTTCGGCGGCATTGATTTGTTTCACTTTGATTTCGTTCGCTGCAGCTGTTTGGCATTTCACATCGACTTGGCGTGATCTTCACTCACCAATGCGGCGCGACGAACAACTTGAATGACTGATGATATAATTCTGTAATGAAAACACAAGAAAACCGGCATTATTAATTTAAATTCCAAAGGGAAAAACAAGTTTTATTTGGAGGCAATGGGTAACATTACAATGAGGGTTAACCCTTCGGGGGACCAAAAGGATCCGTAAGGGTACGCAATAAATAGGAAGGGGCAAGGAAGATGAATATAAAAATCTAAGCTTTTCCGGAAAAGAAGACATTGTAGTTTCGATAAGAAGATATTCTGGTCCTCTATCTTCTATGAGAGAGTACCCACTGCTCTTCTATGAGAGAAGACCCACTTGTCTTCTATTAAAAAAAAACCAATTGGTCTTCTATGGGAAGACCTTCTGCTCTTCTATGGGATGACCTTCTGGTCTTCAATAAGAAGACCCTTCGATCTTCAATAAAAAGACCCTTCGATCTTCTATGAGAAGACCCTCCGATCTTCTATGAGAAGACCCAGTGGTCTTCTATGGGAAGATCCAATGGTCTATTGAGAGAAGACCCCGGTCTTTTTCTATGAGAAGTCCCTCCCTGGCCTTCTTCTAACAGAAGTCCCCCTTCTCTTTTTCTATGAGAAGACCCCCTGGACTTCTTCTATGAGAAAACACCCTGGTCTTCTTTTATGAGAATACCACTGGTCTTCTTCTGGCACTCTCTTAAAGACCCACTGGTCTTCTATTAGAAGACACTCCGGTCTTCTATAAGAACAACTGGTCTTCTTCTATGAGGAGACCCCCTGGTCTTCTTCTATGAGAAGACCCCCTCGTCTTCTTCTATGAGAATACCACTGGTCTTCTTCTATGAGAAGACCACTGGTCTTCTTCTGGCACTCTCTTAGAGACCAGTTGGTCTTCTATTAGAAGACACTCCGGTCTTCTATGTGAAGACCAACTGGTCTTCTTCTATGAGAAGACCCCTGGACTTCTTCTATGAGAAGACCCCCTGGTCTTCTTCTATGAGAAGACCCCCTGGTCTTTCTCTATGAGAAGACCCCCTGGTCTTTCTCAATGAGAAGAATAACTGGTCTTCTATGAGAAGACCCCCTGGTCTTCTTCTATGAGAAGACCCCCTGGTCTTTCTCTATGAGAAGAATAACTGGTCTTCTATGAGAAGACCCCCTGGTCTTCTATGAGAAGACCCCCTGGTCTTCTATGAGAAGACCAACTAGTCTTCTATGAGAAGACCAACTGGTCTTCTTCTATGAGGAGACCCCCTGGTCTTCTGGTGTGAGAAGACTCCCTTGTTTTCTTATATGAGAAGACCCCCTGGTCTTCTTCTATGAAAAAACCCCCTCGTCTTCCTCTATGAGAAGACCCCCTGGTCTTCTTCTATGAAGAGACTCCCTTGTCTTTTTCTATGAGAAGACCCACTGGTCTTCTTCTATGAGAAAACCCCTGCTCTTCTTCTATAAGAAGACCCCCAGGTCTTCTTCTATAAGAATACTCCCTAGTCTTCCTCTATGAGAAGACCCCCTGGTCTTCTTCTATGAGAAGACCCCTGGTCTTCATCTATGAGAAGACCCCCTGGTCTTCTATGAGAGAAGACCTTCTTGTCTTCTATAAAAATACCATATGGTCTTCTATTAGAGACGACCCTCTGGTCTTCTATTATAGAATTCTATTGGAGAAAACCCTCTGGCCTTCTATGAGAAGACCAACTGGTCTTCTATGAAAGAAGACTCATTGGTCTTCTATGGGAAGACCTTCTGGTCTTCTATGAGAAGACCCCCTGGTCTTCTATGAGAGAAGACACTCTGGTTTTCTATGAGAGAAGAGCCTCTGACCTTCTATGAGAGAAGACGCTCAGGTCTTCCTTAAAAGAAGATTCTCTGGTTTCCCATGATAGGAAACCCTCTGGGTTTCTATAAGGGAAACCCCTCTTGTTTTCTATGAGAGAAAACCTTCTGTTCTTCTATAAGAAGACCCTAATTAGAACAGGGAAATCAAAATTCAATCTCATGTTTTTGTTTTCTTTTGGGCTCTTCCCAAAAAGATATAGAACATGAAAATTAAATTCATTTAATTTATCAAATAAATTAATAATAAAATATTCCCACTAAATTAGTTTGGATTAGGGAATAAAACAAGCTAAGATAGAACTCTTGTATTGCTTTTTTCATTTCTTCATGTTTACTCAAAATTTGATTGACTGCGGAGGCATAAAAGGGGAGGATGGATTACCCATAAGAAATGGTTTTGAATTAAAAAAAAAAAAAACTCCCATCTTTGTTATTTCACCTTCTCTGTTCTAATCTTGTTTTCCACTACTAATCTAATTAATAACCCTAATTTGTTTTCGTTTCGGGGAGTGATTTGAACATCTTTCTACGAAATTGTCTTAAATTCGTTTAATTTGGTGTTCCAAATTAATCGATATAACCTTTTAATGATTGAAGTAGATTTTTCCAGATTATAAATAAAATTGGTTCACTGACTCTTTGACTTAGATGATGTTATGGGAGTTTGGATTTTTTCTTAGGTTCTAAAGAATTTTTCGGAAATTTTTCGCTGTCAAAAAATTGTTAAGATGAAACGTAGATGCCGATTCCCAAATTTAGGGTTTCAGCTGATTTATCATGTAACTTATTTTCAACATTGTTATTTTTTTATTTTAATAAAACAATGTGATAAAATTGAAACTCACACCACTGTTCATTAAAATCTTTTATAACCCACCTCAAGTAAAAAAGAAGTGTCAAAAGTACATAAAACAAGTAAAAAGCAATAAGTTCGGGCGGGCCGAACTATAAACACCCTCCACCAATTGGAAAGAATTTGAAAATTTAAAAAAAACGGTTAAAAATTTTCTTAGAATTTTAAAAAATACTGAATAAATATTGGGGTCTTTATGAAGTCGTGGGCCTGCATAGGCAACTTTTGTCATAAGCCAATACAATATTCAAATTCAAAACTTGAAACAAAATCCAGCGAATAATGTAGCTAAATGATCAAAATACCGAATATATATAGGTACTGTTGAATCGGTTCTATACGAAGACCTGTATTACCTCTTAGGAACTTCAAATATGAAATTTCAAACAATTTCGGTGAATATTGTACCTAAAATCGTCAAAATACCGAATATAGGGAGGTACTGATATATGGACCCCATACGAAGACTTCAAAGACAATTTTAAAATGTGAATAATGTCGCTAAAATCATCAAAGCACAGAATATTAGGAGGTACTGTTATATGGGGCCTATACGAAGACGTGGGTCTGCATACGCAATTTTTGGTCATAGGCTGTAGTACCCATTACAAATTCTAAATTTGAAACAACTCCGGTGAAAAATGTCCCTAAACTCGTCAAAATATCGAATATCAGAGGGTTCCGTTGTATGTGGACTATACGATATAGTGGACCTATATAGACATTTCTCTGCCAGGGAGTAAAGGGCTTAGAAACACCTTCTAGTATGGATTTTTAGACAATTCCTTTGACAAATGTAGTTTAAAACATCAAAATGCCAAATGTGGGGTGCTACGGTTATATGGGGGGTATACGATATCGGGGACTTATATAGACGATACTCTTTCAGGGGGTAAAGTACTCAGAAGGAATTACTTCTATGGATTTTCAGACAATTTCATTAAAAAATTCAGCTACCATTATCAATATACCGAATATCGGGGGGGTACCGTTATATGAGGCCTATACGATATTGTGGACCGATATAGCCCATCTTCAAACTTAATGCCTGCCTGTAGACAAAAGACTGATCTATGCAAAATTTTAGCTTCCAATCTTTATTCGTTTTGGTTCTAACGTGATTACAACAGACGGAGGGTCGGACAAGGCTAAATCATCTTAGAATTTTACGCTGATCAAAAATTTATACAGGGTGAGATGAAAAAACTTCAATCAACTTCAGACTGCTGTCAATTCTAAGGCACTCGTCCAACAGCTGTTAAAATTATTCCAGTGACAGTTCATTATATTGTTTACAAGCTTACAGAAGCATTTTGGTGAGAATTTTCCAGAACAAAAAGTTATTCGTGATTGAATTCAAGCGTGATAGTGTGATTTCTTTATATTTGGCGGGACAACCACAAGTGGTTATCGTTAGAGCACTCCAGCATTTAAATGTGAATTAATCTTTTGTGTCTCAACCATCGCTCGTTACGGTGATACTGGTAGCGTAGCCCAAAGTCAAGGAAGTGGACGGAAGAGAAAAGCAACATCAGCAGAAATGGTTCGAAAAGTAAAAAAGCAACTTGATAGAAACCCGCGTAGCAGTGGCCGAAAAATGTCCTGTGAGCTGAACATATCGCAATATTCCATTCGGCAAATATTGAAAAATAAGCTCGGGGTAAAGCCATTGAAATTCCAAAAAGTACAAGAACTTATACCGCAACACAAAGAAAATAGACTCAAAAGAGCTAAAGAGTTGCTTCGCTTAGTCGAAAGTGGTGAACTGCCGAATTTGGTTTTCTCCGATGAGAAAACATTCGTTGTCCAGCAGTTTGTAAACAAACAAAATTATCGTGTTTACTCGCCAAAGAGGTCAGCTTAAAAAGTGTTCACCTTCGGTTGGCCACCAGAACTCAAGCGCTGGCCATGGTGATAGTGTGGGCCGCCATAATAGCCGATGGTCGCTCTCCGTTCGTATTAATTGACCGCGGCTTTAGAATAAATGCCGAATATTATCGAAAAAATATTCTGAAGGGTGTATTAAAGCCTTGGGCAGGCAAACATTTTGGCCGCAGACCTTAGACATTCCAACAGGACTCAGCACCATCGCACTCAGCACGCGCCACTCAAGAATGGTTACAAAATGAGGTTTTGCGCTTCATTTCCACAGTACAATGGCCACCAAAATCTCCGGATACCAATCCGTTGGACTATTGTGTCTGGAGTATTTTGGAAAACAAGGTTGGCACTAATTAACACCAAAGTGTCGATCACCTCAAGCAAGCGCTTCGCCGGGAATAGGCTAAAATACCGCAGTGCAACATTCGGACAGCGAGTGACGGTTTCATTGGCCGTTTGAAGGCCATACTTCGTGCCAAAGG